TTAATAGATTTGTCCTTCTTAAAAAAAGCTAAAACAAATATCTATACAACAAATACGTCGTTCGGTAGCAAGAATACATAGAATGAAACAAGGGGTTATTTACGTAATATATTGTTAGGCATCTCCCTGTGTGCTTAAATACCTCGGACATGACACATATACGTCATTACTTGGGCTAAAATTCAATTCCCAAATGTTCAGAGCTACTTTATCCTTTAGCAACTGTCTCGCCTGAGGGCTTTTAGGTAGTTTTAGAAAACTAAAAGGGCCCTACACTAAAACTAAGTTCGACCGGCCAGTGACTCCACCCTCGCCGTTAATTTATGAAACATTTTGATTGAACTGCTAATTAAATAGTTTAGTTTGAACATCGGCGAAAATTTCCACAGATTATTTTGTTCGGGTAATATTAATTTTATAGTGGATTGTTTGAGAGTTTGTAATAGAAAATACATTAACATTTTCACTCAGGCACTTTGTTAATACTGTCAAAGGGCAATTGTCATATCAATTAGAGTATCTACCTTCTCTCTTACTAGAGATTAAAACATAGACCATCACACCGCGCGCCTCAAAGAGCCATCAGACCACCACAGATAGGGCCCAACAGGGCCGCTGGCAATTCGGAATCGCGGAGTACCTAACGGGTTACCGTACCGGGGCTCCGGCTCGACGTGCAGGAGAAGGAACGGGGTGGTTTTTAGTCAGGGATTCGATGATTTTCCCCCATTAAAAAAAATACTATCATACCAACACTAGCATATTTCAACAACAAAACTTAATACTACACAAAGCTACAATACTGGCAAAATCGATGGAACACTCCAGAACATATTACAGCAAACATTTATTTGAAAACATGGCTGGCAGTTGCACACTGCCGACGTCTGACTTGTGACTGCCGGTAACGATTTCGTCCATCAACAGCTAAAAGAATAAATACATTTTTAACATTTCAATGCTCCTGGGATCTTTTAGAGTTGAGACGGTTATCGAACACAAACTCATCCACATTTCTATTTGCTTTCGATATATGTGCATAGAGATGTTAGCGTAGGGATGTAAGTAAAATTGTGCGGTGTATAATGCAAGCGCTACTGGGCAAAGCGGTGTTTAAAGTTGAGGTAAACCTAAATATTCGTTCATGTGTGTGTGTAGTTTTGACTTCGGTTTTGTTTACATTGGGTACAGATAAAGCTATTGAAGATTATGGTGAAAGGATATTTTCAAAATTCATGCTGTTCTTTATTATTATTTAATAGAAATTGAAAAGAGAGATGAACTTCATATTCAGTTGCTGCAATTCAGAGCAGTTCTTCTCCTACGTTTTGCATAACAAAAATATTTGCTGAACTTTCTTTTTTTGAAGGTTGCTCGTCTCCGTAACGTCATACAAAACTTATTATATCGCTGACTTATATGTAAGATATCATGTTAAATATAACATCAAACCTTAGTATTACAATTTTGTTTAGAGAATATCTGACAAACTGCACACTGGTAGGTAACTGATATTTTGTACTCAGCTATGTTTCTGATATTCTATGGGCAAGTTGTTGACTCGAATTGCATGGAGTTTGGTCGTTCGATATTTTATAGATGCATTAGTTTCGAGTTGAGAACAACATGTTTTTGGTATTCAAAGTTATAGTGGGAGTTGCTAGCTATTGCTGAATATTGTTCATGTTTTATGTACCGTACTTAGTGGTGTTTTGTAATTATTCGTTTGTAGGGGAATTTTGTTTAGTCTGTGTTATGTAGTCCAATATGTAGATGGAAGTATTGACCTGGATAGAGATAATTAGGTATGTTTTTTATACAACAAAGTAAATATTTTTATCATCTACAGTCTGTCACAATGTACTATAGTTAGTCTATTCTGTAAAGGAGATCATCTCGCTTCGTTTCAAAAAGACTCTGATACCTTTTCGCATTATCATCACAATTGCCCCAGATTCATTATTCTAGCAATGTCGATGATTATATAGCGTTTCCTAGCACCTTCAGAAAGCAATAAATGTATGAAAATGACGAATCTTTGAACTGGTATAACTTCGTCTTCTTGGATTCTACAACTTATTATTATTATACATTTAATATGAAAAGGGTCTGTATGCTTTCACTTAGATGCACCATATTGTTATTTCCTCAGAAATATGGCTGAATTCGCTAATAACATCAATAATGACCTCGACTCCATATCGGTAGCCCAGTCTGAGTCTTGTAGTATAGATAGTTGCTATAAGATGGAGTTGAATACTGCAGTCAATCTTAAAGTTATATCGCAAAATATCCGGAGTTTAAATTGTAACTTAGTAAACTTTGAAACATTAATTAATAGGTCAAGAATATATTGGGATGTCGTTGTTTTGACCGAGTGCTGGCTATCGCGTAATCCTATCATCCCACATATGGACGGGTATAATTACTTCTATACTAACAAAAATAAGACGCAAAACGAAGGGGTAGTGATATACTATAGGAATGGAATTGACGCGACGTGTACTGAGCCAGATTTTCTAGATGCCAACTGCTTAATCTTTAAATTAAATGCAGACACTATAATTTTCGGGATCTACCGACCACCCAGCTACAATAATATAGACAATTTCCTAAAATCGCTCGACGATTGTCTACGCAGTTACTCAACATTTAAGTTTCCTAAGCTACAACTGATGCAGAATTATCAATCACTACATTCATATCAACACTTCCACCTCATTCACTTACCTATACATACCCACACATAATACACATCAACTCACTCACTTACATACACATATACACGCACTCACACTACATTGTTACACACCCACAGTCACACACACACACACACACACTCATACAATGTTGTCCTTTTTCTTTAATTAAGTAAATACCTTATATTGTTCAATGTGTCCGGGGGTCACCCGGGCCTGGTGATCTGTAACACAGGTTATACCTTTAACAGACACCAGTCTCTCTTTATTGTAACATATTATATAATTTGTATCCTTAGAGTATTTTGAGAAAATAAAGATTTTTATTATTTTATTATTATATATTATTATAACTTTTACGCGATAATAACTTTTGCTCCAAATGGCTAGTTCTAACGATACCTACGTACTATTTTCTTTGGCCGGCACTTTCAGGTAAGCCCCAAAAAATGATCAACTTTCAATTCGAAAGATTGAAGTGAACTCGATCACGGTCCGTCATATCATTGGCTGTGAGAATATGATGACTGCACGGTTGGTGCTGTGGCTGGGCAACGTGTCGCGGGATCGATTCCCGCACGGAACAACTCTTTGTGTGATTTACAGATTGTTGTTCTGCGTCTGAGTGATGTATATGTTTGTAAACGCACCTACGACACAGGAGAAAATCCTAGTGTGGGTCAACGTCTTATAAAAAAAGAAAATATTCTCGACCAACGACGGGCGGCTTCTAATAAACTTTCACGTTTGGCTGGTGGATTGGAGAACCACCAAAAGCAACAGAATCTGGGACACGATTCTCGTCTACCACGCTAAATAGGTACAACAGTAATCAAAAGAAAATCGAACGAAAAACCAATTTTCTTATTTCCGAAAAACGTATTAAATATTGAGATTAGAAAAAAATGATCAAACATCGTATTGAGTGGGGTACCATCGAGGAATATTATCGTTTTCGTAAATTAATTTGCTTTGATCAACGCTACTTCCAATTTTAGATTACTTGTACCTCTATAATATAATTGATTACTGGTCAGCATTTTTGATGAACATTAATAAAATTAGAATATTACTATAGACTGCCTCGTTGGCCGAGTGGTCGTAAGTGCGATTGCCGGGCAAGGGGTCTCGGGTTCGATTCCCGAATCGGGCAAAGATTTACTGGGTTCTTAAAAAAAAATGTCAGTAATAGCACGGAGTCTGGAAATAGACCCGGTATATGGCAATAGGCTCACCCCCTATTACATGAGATTCATAACATAAATAGTGAAAAATGGGTGTTACTTCTGTGTGCACCCCTTTGGGGATAAAAGGCGTGATTTATGTATGTATGTATGTCCATTGCCATACAATACAATAACGTTATGTGACACTAAACGAATTAAGATATTATAGGAGTAATTGTTTAAGTTCTTGTTAATTAATTAATTGTTTGATATTTCAATTATTCACACTTATTTATTGCAACTGTTTTAAAACACCTGCATAATGTTTGCACATGTTTATGAAAACTGCAAACACATGGTGTTCAAGGCTGAATGTAAATGAGAATCGTCCGATAGTTATTATGCATATTGAAATGTGTACATAGCAGATATTTCTAAAGAAGGAAACATCTCGAATGTCTTCGTAAGTTCAGTGCTAGCATGTGTGGCAGCCGATTGTGAAAATTTAGTACGAAGTAGTACCTAGTACGAAGTATGTAGATGAAATTATACTCTATTTATCATAACATAACATCATGCCTTTTATCCCCGAACGGGTTGATAGAGGTGCACATTACGGTATTTAATGTCACTGTACAATGTAACACCCACTTTTCACTATTTATGTTACGAGTCCCATGTAATAGGGGGTGAAAATCCTGCGTATCATTTTGACAATAAGATCAAAATACATAATATATCTGTCAAATAATACAATGAATAACCATTTAACCTATCCTGCCT